TGTTTCATACGTTTGCCAAACGTTTTCATCAAAACAATTCAAACCGCATATGAATTGCAGTGAAAACCAAACAAAACCAACAATTAATTTGATTGTAAAATATATAATAATTGATGGTGAATTAGTATTAAAAGGTTCTACCATGTATAATTAGTGTAAATAATACAATTAAATAGCGTAATTTTAATTTATAAACTATGTTAATTTTTCCCCATAGTAAGTAAAATTACGTGTATATTACGTGCATTTTTGTATTTTACAATGTAAATTACGTAGCTTCAAAATAATCCTTGTAATTTACCAACCTTACATACAATGCAAGCAAATGAATCAAACTTTGAGTTTCAACTATAACTATACGTTCAACGATAGATGTCTTAGCAGTTTATATCAAATAGCATTGCATTTACGTTTAAAAAAACTGATAAAAATGTTACAAAACTTTAAAACTTTAAATAAATAGAGTTGTATTGACTTTAATGTCGGATACGTTGACAACTAAACCAATTGTTAAATACAAATACATTTAACAAACAATTAAAAGTCAGTTTGAATGCAATAAACGATTGCAAATACAGTGTGTATTGAATAGCATTGCATTGAGTGTAACATCCAATCAATTTGAAGGCTTTGCCAAAGCATTGAGCGTTTGTTTGGTTCAAAATAAAGCACTTTTCAAATGTGATCACAAATTGAATGCATTTTTGCGGTGAAATATAATCTGATTTTAAATGTAGTTTTGAATTGAGTTTTGAATTGTTTTATTGGTTTGAACTCTCATTTGAGGCCATAATTCATAATGAGTTTGACTTTTGATTTACTAATTGTTGGTTTTGTTTGGTTTTCACTGCAATTCATATGCGGTTTGAATTGTTTTGATGAAAACGTTTGGCAAACGTATGAAACAAATGGCGAAGAAGTGCCCAAATTTGACCACAACTCGAGACAATTGTACGAAAAGGGAAAAGACTTCTTCGATGTGATGGTCAGGAAAGAGACAAAGTATGGCAACTGTTGGCGCGAAGCCGTCCAATCGCTGCAAACCAATTGCCAACACTTGGATGAAGACATTCAAAGCCGATTGGCTCTCAGTTTTGCCAATTGTTTCCTCGAGAGGTCGGGAATGGAGACCTATCCGTGTCCTCAACACCAAGACATCAAACACTGTGTCAAAGACATGACTGACAGAGCGTTCAACTCCTACACCGAGTTCTTCACTCACACACAAAGTGTCTGTTTTTATCTTCAGTCGGAGTTATGGCAGCAGAAGACTGAATCCACTGTCGATAGACTGACACAGACTTCATATGAAGTGAAGAACCGTTTGGAAGACGCGTCGCAACAATTGGATCAATTGAATGGTTTGCAGGAGTTGTCCATCAATTCCCAAATGAGGCTAAACGACGAGTTGACGGCCGCCAAGAATACGATCGACGAGTTTAAGACCTCTTCGGCCGAACAGCGGTTCATCGTTAAGGAAATTCTCGACCGATTCATACGATTGCAAGACTTTGTATTGATTGAGATGTCTTACGGCTATTCCATAATCTTCTTCGTGGTCTCAATGATAATCGTATACTTCATGACAACTCCTGTCCGCACAAATGACAGCCGACTTTGGCTTTTCATCGTTTTGGTCATCAATTTATTTGTTGAACGACTGATCGCTTCGTATTCAGTGGACGACCACTTCATTGGTCTGAAAAGCACTTCAATTATAATCAACGAAAGGATTTGGTTATCGAGAAAAATCACATTAACTTTATTGAGCGCTATATTCATGTGGTTTGCCATCACTTACAAGAACTACGGTTACGTTAACCACAGTATCCTTAATGAACACACTTTGCGTTTAAACCACATTCAGAACCAATTGAATCAAATCAGCAAAATTGGTATTCAATTAAATAAAAGTAATGTTTTTTTTTGCAATCATTTCTAATACTTTTTAATCTCATTTTTTTAGCTGAATTTTCGCCTCAAAAAGCAGTGGAAAGTGTGGGCACAACACGACGCGAGTATTCATCCGATAGTGACAGCGATTTTACAGCCGATTCTGGCAATAGTAGCGATGAAAGTGAGATCAGCGATATCTCCTTCGAGACCTGTTCTACTGTCGATGTGGTCGTGTCTTCGAGTACTACTAAAGTCAACGATAATAATGAAATGAAAGTAGAAAATAATGAGAATTCAGTCGCCGTTAACAGTCCTGAGCTTACAATAAGTCCCCGATCTTATAACTTGAGGCCACGAAAGAGTATTACTTATACTAAGAGCGGAATAATCACTGAATCAGTGGATGATTTTGTGGCTACAGTACAGCTTTCGGAGTGTATTTCAAAAGCAAATTCACAAATAACTCACACGAATGCCAAGAATTTCTTATCGTCCGATGAGGACTAACTCTGGCGTTATTTATTAGTCATTAACTCATTTTCATAATTAATTTGAATTGTAAATAATGTTTTACTTAAATCATACTTAGTTTTTAATACTTAATTTTATTTATGCTTAAATTGTAAAACCAATAGAATTTGTAAAATTTAAAACAATTTGTATTTAACACATGATATGCGCGATTGAGTATTGATATGATTGGAGTCACAATGAATTTTATGCCCAAAGAAATTGCAATTTTAACGAATAAACTCCAGAATTGACTAGAATTAAGTCATTAAACTGTTGCCCACTTATGATATCTTTGATTTTAATCAAACCGATTATGTATTTGTCTAATGATTTATTAACCACTTCTAGTTTAAGAACTCGTTGATCATCGATGTCTTCAGTTGTCTTGTATACCAGTGTTTGGTTGTTTGCTGTCTTATGCGGTATGAGTGCCACAAAGTGATTGTTGAGACCGACATATAAGTTGAGATTAAGGTTTGTATTGAAGTCATAGACAATAACCGTTGCATTTCCTGATTTCTGTATTTGTCGCACATTTTGCTCAACAGAATGTGAATCAAAACTCGCATTCAAATGATTGTCTTTATACCGCAGGATTGTTGGTAGACTGCACGGGTTGATCTGCAGTTTTTCCCTCAATACACCGTTTATTGGGGAATGCAATGACATACACTATAACCTCAGTACACATGCCGTTTTATAATTAAAACTTTGAAATGTAAAAAAGTGTTTTTTTATACAGTTGGATACAGTTAATACTAGTAACAAAATGTAAACAAAATAAAAGGATAAAGTTCAATGTTAATGGGTAAAATGCCGAAAAGGACTATGACCATTCGTGTGATAAAATGCACTTGGGAATTGTTGTTATAAAATGAAAGGACATTCAATAAGTAGTCGAGTGATATATTTCATATGTCCAGATGCTTTCGAGTCTGTCCGTAATAACCACTTTTATCGGTAAAATTTTAAGAATCAAATCTTTTATTTTATAAATAAGTATATCATATTATATATCAATAGAAAGGTGTGGATAAGAAGAATAATATTCTGAAGGAATTATAAAATTCGGACTTAATTAGAAAATCTTATCTAATAAATAAAAAATTCTTGACAATTGTATAAGTTTTTTATGATGAGTAGCGTAATTATTTTACTCCACTCACATCAATTTTGATTGCAATTACATGAATGATTAAATTACTGAAATAAAAATTGGTTAAAATTTTTAATGCATATTTTTTGGCATTTTCTCCATTATTTTTGGGCAAACACCTTTTATATCAAAAAATTTTAATGTTTTAATTTACGAAATTAATTATCGTTATAATTGAAATTGATATAAATAATGAACAGTAATAACGTTATTCATTATAAAATACTTACATAACTGTTACAAAATTTCTTAATTTTGATATAACCTTTATCAATTATGTCAGATTTAGAAAATTTCTTCGGATTTCGATTCTACTTATCCACACCTTTCTATTGATATATAATATGATATACTTATTTATAAAATAAAAGATTTGATTCTCAAAATTTTACCGATAAAAGTGGTTATTACGGCCAGACTCGAAAGCATCTGGACATATGAAATATATCACTCGACTACTTATTGAATGTCCTTTTCATTTTATAACAACAATTCCCAAGTGCATTTTATAAAAATTTTACCGATAAAAGTGGTTATTACGGCCAGACTCGAAAGCATCTGGACATATGAAATATATCACTCGACTACTTATTGAATGTCCTTTCATTTTATAACAACAATTCCCAAGTGCATTTTATCACACAAATGGTCATAGTCCTTTTCGGCATTTCACCCATTAACATTGAACTTTATCCTTTTATTTTGTTTACATTTTGTTACTAGTATTAACTGTATCCAACTGTATAAAAAACACTTTTTTACATTTCAAAGTTTTAATTATAAAACGGCATGTGTACTGAGGTTATAGTGTATGTCATTGCATTCCCCAATAAACGGTGTATTGAGGGAAAAACTGCAGATCAACCCGTGCAGTCTACCAACAATC